GCTCCTGCGTTCACACAGGTATCACACACTTCTCACCGCCCCCCTGCACTCGCAGGCACCCACATACAGGCAGCCGCACCCACCTCGGTGTGTGAGCATACGTGTGTGTGTGTGTGTGTGTGTGTGTGTGTGTGAGCTCACTGCACCTGTGTGTGTTTACCGGGTGGAGAGGTGGAGCTGGCTGCATTCACGCTGCTGACTTTTCTACCTTCTTAGTGCTGACTGCTCTCGGGAGTGGGCTTTGGGAATACGCAGTGCACGGTACCCTGGGCCCTGCGGCCACTTAGCTGAGGATCTCACATGCCAGCGGGCTTTGGAGACACTCAATTCACTCAGCACACGATTTCTGCAGGACTCCTGAGTTCAAGACCCAGGTTAATCATCAACAGCACAAAGAGGATGAAAAAGCCGCTGTTCCATTCCGCACAATGGGAGACCGCTTACTCCTGACCACTGGCCCACAGAGACAGCAGGAAAAGAAAGCCAGAGGCAGGGCTGGATGCAGCAATTTTATTCTCTCTAGGTCTATTATTTCTCAAACCCATAATCATTTTACAAGCATTCCTTGTTTTTATAAACACGAAGAACGTGGCGGTCAAAATGCAGTTTCTCGTCAGCGCTGTGAACGCCAGTGCTCACAGCGGGCTCTGCAGATTTCTTAGCTTCCTGTGCCTGTTGTGTATCTAAGAGGTCCCATACACAGTCCAGGGATCTGAACACTTTAGCCCTTCATTTGCATGACATTTGTCAGTTTTGATGTGTAATGACACATGGTTACTTTTTCAGGAATATCCTCATAACACTAAGCTCAGATGCTCTGTGTGCTGATGAATGAACTCTGTTCTCTCAGTGCAGCAAGACTCTATCTGCCTTGGAATGGCTGAGGGCAGTCAATGCGGAGCTGCTCCTCACACTTCACTTTGAAGTTTGTTCAGGGGAAAGCGGGGTTTAGGCTTCCGTGCTGAGCGGTCCCCAGTTTGAAAGGGCCGCACTGCACATGTGACAGAGGTGTGCGGGGGCAGAAAAGCGTGCCAGGGCCTTGCAGTCTGGGCAAGACCCTCCAGGGTGATGGTCTGCAGAGACATTGGGAGCCCTGCGGGATCTGCCCCAAAGGATTAGAGCCTAGGCTCCTTCCAGCCCTGGACACAGCCTGCCCCTCCCCCCTACAGGACAGCTGTGTCAGGCTATGCCTGGTGAAGGACCGAGCACCCTCAAGGGGAAGGGTTAGGAGGAAGAGGAGGAGGAAGGAAAGAAGTTTCTGAGCTCCTTATGTGAGGAAAGCACAGCATTCCAGGGCCAAAGCCGCGAAGCTGAGACTCAGACTGGGCTTCGCGCTGGCCTTGTGGCCTGCGCTCCTGCTGCCCCTCCTAGGAGGAAAAGAAACTGGTGCTCTTCGGAAGGGACTGACTCACAGAACTCACAGGGTCTGTGCGCATCCTAATGCTCATCCATTCATCCAATGAATCTGGGTTTACCTCTGAGCTAGGTGTGAGGCAACGGAGATGGATTCCTATGTGCTTGGATGGGGTTTCATGAGATAAATGTACGTGATGCACTGCTGAGCACACAGCGGGGAGCAGAGGCCCCTGAACGGGTTAGGTGATCACCGGGGACAGACCAGTGTCAAGGCCTCCACACCACCTCCCGATGTCTTTCCCAAGCTTCTGCCCCTGCCTGCAGTTGGGGTTGCTGCGCTGTGGTACAGCCACACCCAAGGCCAGTCCCAGGGGCCTCCAAGGTCATGTCCACTCCTGGCCTCTGACCCGAACCCAAAGCTTTGGTGTCACCCTAGAATTTCACCTTTAAAGCTGTATTTCCCTAACGATTCCCTGGAAAATTAAAAACAGTGAACTGACTCTCTGCTGAGGTCTGTGAGAAGTGATCTGACCTTTCCTGTGAAGGCACTTTGACACAGGACAGGCACAAGGACTCTTCAAACCCTGGAGGGATTTTGACGACAAAGTGATTTCTATTTCAGACTTTTATTCTTCAAGGCTTTGCATTGCACTTTTAAAGGAAAGCTGCCCAACTTCAGAGTTTTCTCTTACTTTCGTTTTTCCATTTCTACCTGAAGATTTTCGCCCTGGCGTAGACAGACACCCTGCAAAGCCGACTCTCCCGCGCTGCTTGTGTGGACTCAGGCTCTCGGGCCACAGCCAGCTCCGCCACCCGGGCTGGGCTGCGCCTGCCTCCTCCACCTCCTGCACCTTGCCCGCCCCGGGCTCCTCCAGCCACCCCCTCCCTGCCTGAGCTGTCTGACCACTCTTGCCCACACGATGGAGGGGATTCTCGGTTTCATTTCAGCCCTTGGTGCATATGTCATCTTGTCACCTCAAAATTCCCTTAAACCCCTCTCACCTCATTCTGCTAATACAAATTTCTGAAATAGCAGTGACACACATTGTATTTTCTTCTTTATGTACATGTGTTTGTCTCTCACATGAGACAAGGAGCTCCTGGGGGCAAGAGAGACAGATTTGCTTCTGTGTGCTCCAAGCTGAGGATCATGAGATTTGCTTAACAAATACATAGTAAGTGCTGCTAGGTAAGTCAGCCAGTGGCCTCGGGAGGACACCGGTGTTTTGACAGCAAAGTTTATGTAGTTCGGATGGCCAGACCCAGCAGAAGTCTCTTACTGGGGGCCAGAAGGGAAAAAGAGGGGAAAGGAAGGGAGGACAGGAGAGGAGAAGGGAAGGGAGGGGAGAGGAGGAGAAGAGGAAAGGAAAGGAAAATTTACGCAAAACGTGAACCTATCCAAAGCCAAATCCATGCGGACTGCAGCCCTAGTCCTCCGAAGGATGTCTCAGAAGGTAGGAAAGCTACACCCAGAGTGAACTTCCCAGGGTTTAGGGCAGTGTCCTCCAGGCTTGGGGGAAGAGCGAGCACACCATGTCCTCGGGGGAACTGACTCTAACAGAAAGCGTAGAAGGAAGAGCAGGAGCAGAGGACTGATGAGTGGTGCCCTGGTGGGGACCCAGATGCCTTCCCCCACCCCCGTCTGTGGCCACATGGTCAGGGTGGACCCATGTCAGAGGTTCTGGGGTCTCATAACATTGCTTTCATTGGCTTTGGATTTTAAGACACAACACCAAGTGTGTGTGTGTCATTCTCATTTTGGTCTCCTTAAAACTTAAGATATCTTTAAATTTTAAGATGCATTTTATCTCTATAAATTGAGAAAAATTGAGCACTTTCTTGGGGTTGAGTTAATCATGCTCTTGATAAGACCCTAACCGAGAGGTGGTAATAGACCCGCTGAGAGCTTTGTTTATAGTTCTTCTGCCTCTGGAGCAGGGACACCTGCACTCTTCTGTATCAACACACAGGCAACCTGGGCTTGCAAATCTTTAGCCTGTTACCAGAAGTATTTTTTTTTTCAGATGAGGCAGTATGCTGAAGTCTTTATTTGATTTGTTCAAGAATCCCAGAATGAGAACTACTATGAAATCCTTCAGAGAAAAAAACTAAGTCTTTGCACAGCAGATAAAGCCTGTAATAATCCCCTCTTCTCTCTAAAATTAAAAGTGTGTGCACCGCAGAGTGTGTTAGCAGGACCTTCCCAGGAAGTGAAAACTGTCCCCAGCCAGGCAACGCAGGGCCTCCATGGAGAGGCTGAGGCTGGTCACATTGTTTGACATGAGGGTTCGTTTTCAGATAGTGAAATTTCAGTTGCCAGGTGCCAGAGGCAATTTATCAGGCACTCATAAAATAAAGATCAAACAGCCCATCCGTGCCCCGGCGCATCTGGGAAGTAGGAAGGAACACTCACAGCCTCGTCCTTTAAACAGCTCTCACTTAAAGAGCTCGATGTTTATAATAACAAGAAAGGAGAAAGGGGTCAGGTCACATTCTGCCAAGGAGCAGGTGTTGTTTTAAGGTTTTTACTCCTTTTTTCCCTTAAAAAGTAATCCACAGGAATATTGAGTTGTTGCAGTTGGTCCCCTCCATGTGTATTTTTATGTGCGCCAACAGAAAATGTGCCATGAAAAAGAGAAAATAAAAACCTATGACCATTAAAAATTGTTCCATTTTTTTCTTAAAAAATCAAAATGCTAAGTGAACAAAATAGAAGTGAACATTTTAACAGCATTAAGTGGACTTCAAAATTCTATTCTTCTGAGATTAGACTTCTACGTAATTTTCAATAATATCGCTTGTGTGCATGTAAGACTTGCTTTACGATTCCCTTGTGGGGCATAGAGATGAGAGGACTTCCTGAGGTCACAGGACATACAAGGAACAGAAACACTGGACTCAGGCAGCGGACATTGTGTCTTCACCACTAGGCCCCAGAGACAGAGTTTGGGGTACAGCTTTGCAGAGTGGCTAACAGCTTTGTTGCATCTTAATTATCAGGTTGTTGAAAGCCAATTTAGGGTTAGCTATTAAACTAAGAAATCCAAGCTGGGCATGGTGGTGCATGCCTATATTTCCAGCATTTGGAAGGTTGAGGCAGGAAGATTGCTGTGAGTTGGTGAGCAGCCTGGACTCCTCAGTGAGTTCAGGCCAGCCTGAACTACACAGTGAGACCCTGTCTCAGAAAAAAAAAGGAATTCCTTATGCTATGATATGGTTACAAGAAGTGTACTCCAAAGCCCATTGTTAATAGCCTGGTCCCCAGGTTGGCCCTGTAAGGAGACAGCAAAATCTCTGGGACTTGTAGAAGTCTGCAGGTCTCTAGGGGTTACTCATGGGGGTTTTGACACCCCAGACACCCAGCTCCTGGTTCATAAGGTAAGCACTTCCCATCCACCACAAGATCCCCATCATGGCCTTCTGGAACCCGTCCAGAGGCCCAGAGCAATGGAGAGACTCAGTCATGGGCTGGAAACTCAAAACCATGAGCCAAAGTCAACATTTCATTTTCGTAATTAACTCAGACATTTTATGACAGGGGTCAAAAGCTGACTAATGCACACAAATCTCTAATTTTACTGATTTTCTAATTTTGTTAGGCAAATGCCATGACTTTATATTAGGAACAAAGTGTACCCTGCAACTATTTGTATTTTCCATTTATTATATACCAGAGAAAAATGTAAAGGTAAACGCAAATCCCACGGACATTAGAGCTTGTAGTTACGTTTCCGGCTTCCGTCACCCCGCCTTGCTGCTCCCGCTTGACTTCCCTTCCTTTCTTGTCGTCTTTGTTTTTCTTTGTTTCCTTTCCACCCTCTTCCCCACCAGTCTCCCTTTCTCTTCTCCTCTTTCTCCTCCTCCTCCTCTTTTCCTTTTCTCCTCCTTCTTCTTTCCTGTCTTCTGAACTTCGAATCTTTTTGAACTGTGAAAGAAGGAAGGAAGGAAGGAAATAACCTAGACAAAAGTAGAAGAGAGATGAAGAGATATGACAGAAAAAAGTACATAAGTCAAATAGGAGGATAAATAAAATCTAAATGGGAATAAAGGATTAATTAAACACGTCTTGAAGAATAATGAGGACAAAAGTTTAAAAAGTGGGAAAATTGAACTTAAGAAGAGTAAGCTTATTATTCCTGGAAACAAATTTACCATTATTCTTATTTCTGTTATTCTAAATTTTTTCACTAAATATTTTGGTTTATACTTACGTATATTAAATATACTTATATATATTAAAAGATTTCATCCTATTGAAGGTAAAGGTCGTAAGAAAAGTAGATAGGTCAGAAAAAAATACAGATTTCAGGATTTACAAAGGATGTTATACAATCATAGGATTTCATGGACAAATAGAGGAGATAGCTAGAGATACAACAACACTCAGAAAGGAAATAGACCTCAGAAGATTACTAACCCTAAAAGTTAAATTTGTAGACAACATTCCAGATATACTTACAAAGAAGAAAACTGTAGGTATCTGACAAAATTGACATTCATTGTAAAACTAAGGTTCAATTTCAGACAACAAAAAGTCTTATTTTTCAAGCGTATTGGACACAAGAGAAAATAAATTGGGGCTAGTGTGTCAGGTCTCATCATCTGCTGGCCTGTAACTCACATATGGGATCATTAATTCATGTGTTTGGGGAGAAAGAAACTGAGAGTCTCTTAGAAAGATGTTTTTCTTAGCCCAGCGCCTTTCCTAAATATCACAGTTCTTTGGCACCCTTGTGGAGACCGTATATCTTGAGGTTTGAAGAACAACTCCCACAGAATTCACTCTCGCTAGCGAAATTGTAGCCCGAGCAGGACACCGTGGCACCACTGCATTTGTTACTGAGAAATCCTGCTCAGGGATTCCCAAGGGAACCGTGTTGGTGCTGAGCTCTGCCATGCGTCCTGAGGGTGGCGCTGTGGCCATCGGGGCAGAGTGCAGGCAGAGCAGTTCTGAGCTCTTAGGAGAGCACACACAACAGGTGGCCCCTGGAATAAGGAACAACCCTCCTTTCTGTGTCACCCAGTGAATACAGGGTGAGCAGCCATTCTGGAAAATGATCATTTTAAAGTTCCTGGAACTCTAAGACAATTTAACTGCCCTCAACATCTAGGGCACAATTGCTCTAGGGACAAATAAGATCAGAGTTTCTATGGAAATCAAGATTCACTTAAAAAAGATTATACCCCCAAATGGAAAAGTCAAGTGACTTTAGTAATCTATGCATCCGAGAATACCTCAGATCCTCCCTATTGATCTCTAGAAGCAAATGGCATGTAGAAGAATCAGGGTGATCTAGTAAGTCATTCAATTATTTTTGACTTTGAAGAACCCATGGTCATTACAATTAGGAACAATAAATGTATGGCTCTATATTTTTATCATTCTATGTATTGGGAGCAGAATCAAGTTCATCAGAGAGATATTGGAGTTCCCATTGCTTTAAAAATCTGAATTATCTGGAAGTACTTGCCTTTTAGTATATATTAAGATGCAACATAATGCCAAAATAAACCAATATTGGGTGGACACTAATGTCCAGTGAGTGACACTGAATCTAACAACTGGACTTTTTATAACAATGATGTGAAGGACTCAGGCACACAGAAGGAAGATGGCCACATCAAGACAGATGCCCAGTTGGAGCCACCTAACCATGCGTACACTATTTGCAGTACACACGTGGGAGAATATCAGGACTTGTTTTCTAGATATCGTCCCATGCTTCATGCTCTCACAGGTGGTGACTTGAGAGGTGGGTGGATCTAGGGTGTGTGATGCTGGATTAAGCATGTGATACTGGACTAAGAATGGGTGTGCTTATCATAGGAAAACACCAATAAAGTGAAAAAAAAAAACATAGACTGGCAAAGAATTTCAGCCAATTGTCTCTTAGACAAAGAAGAACATATAAAAAACTGACACAACTTAGACCACCTAAATTCAAAGACCCTCTCCAAAAATGGGCATCTGAGATGAATACATACTTCTCAGATGAAGAAACACAAATGGCAAATACATCAAAATTGTTCAACACCATTCATCATTCAAGAGATGCAAATTAAAATGACATTCAACCTCACTCCAGAAAGAATGGTTGTTGTCAAAAAATCAGCCAATAACAAATGCTGACAATGATGCAGTGAACGAGGAAGCCTTTTCTACTGTTGGTGCGAGTGTAGACTGGTGTAATCCCTGTGAAAATCAGTGTGGAGATGCCTCAAAAAGCTAGACTTAGAGCTTCAATTTTACCCAGTTCTTCCCCTTCAAAACATCATACATCAGTGATATGTGTGCACCCATGTTTATAGCAGCACAATTTGTAATAGCTAAATCTTGGAAAAAGCCCAATGGCCATCAACCAAGGATGAATAAAAAATATGTAGTATTTTTATGTAATGAAATACTACTTAGTCATAAAAAAGAATAAATTTGAGACTTTTATAGATAAATGGGTACAGCTTTAGACCATAATTGTAAGTGAAATACTTTCCTGGTGTGAGAAACTGAAAGACTAACTAAGGTCTAAAATGTACAATAGATACTGTGAAATGTAAAGAAATTGTTTAAAAAGGAAAAGAAACTAAAATGGAGAAAAGAGGAAAGGAAGAAAGAAAAAGGGGGAAATGCAAGTTAGCTATCTTATTAGTGTCTCTTGGTTCATTGAAAAGGCAAATTCATGCTAATATCAATTGGCGAAATTTTTATGCCCATATCTTGCACTCTGAGTAACTATGTTGAAGATTACAATGCGCAGTGAATTAACTATTGTTACCCTCCTATGATTTTGTTAAGAATTTCTGTTTTACCTTTCTTTAATAAAATAGAAAAAGAAGAAGAATGGGTTTGAGTAATGGAAGCCCCACTCTGGGTGAGGATGGCACCAATCAGTGCCTTTGTAGCCTGCGTGAAAAACAAAAGAAGAGAAAAAACTCAGGCTTGCTGCTGCTTGCTGCTTCTGCCTACCGTACCTTGGACTATGGCTCCTCTTTGATGCCTCTCTGCCATACTCCCCTCTCTTGCAGCCAGCTGATCATGGGTTGAAATCTCTGTAAACTGTGTGCTAACCCTCTCCTCTTTTAATTTGTGAGTGTTGGGCATTTTTTTCTAGCAATGACGAAAGTAACTAAAACAGATTTTGGTACCAGAGAAGTGAGGTCATTACTGTGCTTACACCTGGCCATGTGGTTTGGGAGTCTTTGGAGCTAGCTTGCAGGAAGAGTTTGGAAGGGTTTAGAGATGCAGTCCTGGAATTCTATAAGCTGAACTTAGTGAGAGGTAGTCACAGAAATATATCTGGTAAAGACTAGACTCAAGGAGTTTCAGTTATGAAAAAGGACTGCATTGATTGTCGGACTCAAGACAATGTCTGTTATAATCTTACTCTTGGGGGATTTTAGCCAGATTTATGTTGAAAATCAAGAGCAAAGAGCCCATCGGAATGGCTTAAAATGTCTTGAGTTTGACCCCAAAAAAAAAAAAAAAACTTATTTAAAGTTTCAGACTACAAAGATGCAGCAAAGGAAAATTTGGTTGCTGAAAAGGAACAGGACAATAGAAAATACAGACTGAGGACATTCCAGAAATCAACAGGAATCCATTTTGTAGCCTCAAAATTGCAAATATTAAAGACCTTGCTTTGAAAAGAAAGTCCCAAAACACTGATTTAGAATAGCAGTAACCTAGGGAATTTGTTCCTCAGGATTGGCTTCATAGTGCTTGGCATTCCAGGCACTAGAACCCTAACTAAGAAAGGAAAAAGCCAGGCTACTGCCCCAGCTGACAGAAGATCTTAGCATCACCCACCTGATTCTGGTTTTAGATGCATGCAGAGTGCGAGAGTTGTGGGGTCAGGAAGGCTTCCACCAGATTTCAGAAGAGGGCCTGGGAGGCCAGGCAGTGAGAAGGTGCAAATGTGAAGAATTCACAAGGCTGAACAAGCCAGGACTGTGGGTCATCCGAGGAATGCTACAAAGAAGAAGCAGAGTCAGCCCAAGAGAGAAGTTGTGGGTGCTACCACCACTGGCAGGGGTACAGGGGTGGAACTACACACGCCCTTTGGAGTTCACATGTTACTACAGATTATCTCAGATGCTGGACATGGCAATAAGGGACTTAATGTTTGTCTCTGCTGGATTTTGAGTCTGCTTTATTCAAGTTCCTTTCTGTTCCCTATCTGTACCTTTTGGAATGGAAATGTTCATCTTGTGTCATGTTGTGTTGGAAATGTTTAACTTTCTTTTCATCTGTACAGGGCCTTGAGGCTAAGAGTTTGCATTAAGTCTCAGAGGAGACTTTGGAGTTCATTATGGCGTGTATCTAGATGTCCCCACCAACCTTCATGCAGTCATAGACGGAGCTTTTTAGAGGTAATTGGATCGAGAATGTGTGATTCTAGAGTTCAGGATGTGATGCTGGTATTAATCACTGTGCAATGCTAGGATGAAGGGTGCTGATACAGAATACCAAAGACAGGAAACCGGCTGCTGCTGTCATCTGCCGCCTGCTGCCTGCTGCCTGCTGCCTGCTGCTTGCTTCCCGTGATGGACTGTTTCTCCTCTGCAATTCCTTTCTGCCACGTGTCACCCTGCCTCAGACTGAAACCTCTACAAACCGTGAACCAATATAACCTTTCTTCTTATAACTTTGGGTGTCAGGTATCTTGCTTGTCTCAGGATAAGAAAACTAACTAAGACAGGCTTGGAGTTTTCAGCCATGTTGGTTTTTTTCGCTCCTGTTAGAGTCGGACTACATGCAACTGCATGAAGAGGTGTGCATGAGTCTTTTGGGGACCAGGGGCAGAATATTATGGTTTGTATTCAGGTATCCTCCAAAAGCCTCATGTAGTCTTAAGTAGGACTTTTGGAAGCTGACTCAATCTAGGGAGTAAGAAGGGGTATGGACAATGGGAGCTCCACCCTGGGTGTCAGTAGCACCAAACAATAGGCTTACAGCCTATTGTTGGAATATAAAGGGACGAAACAAAAAATGTAAACAGGAACAGAAAGAAGGTGGGCTGTTGCTGCTGCTGCTTGCTTTCTTGCTTGTTTGCTGTTTCAGTGCCCTCTGCCTGCCGTGCCACCAGCTGTTTCGTTGACATGGCACCCCGTCTCGGAGCCAGGTAACCACTGTGTGAAGCCTCTACAAACCGTGAGCTAAATAAACTTCTCCCTCCTTAACTTGTGGGTGTTGGATATTTTGTTCCATCACAGGAAAATTAACTAAAGCAGGGAGGTAGAGTCACAGAGGCAACCTCATCATTATCACACTCTCGTCTCCTGTGGAGCCACAACGTGCTACACACTTAGCTCCACGTACAAAAATGTCCTTACACAATGAAGTATGGATTCATTTCATAGAACTGAAACTGACGTTCACAATGTTCAGTTACACTGCCGAAGTCCCAACGCTAATAAACTGTAGAGTCAGAGTTTGAACACAATTCTGTCTGTCAGAACCACCAGCTTTTAAACATTATGCTATAATACTCCATACACCAACTCAGAAGTGGGAAGAAATACTATCAGCTTAATTTATCTTAGCGTTCTTGTATTAGAGATGAAGAAACAGAAACCTCTGTACAGAAAATTAATGTTATATCAGAACACAACATATTCCAAGATGCTGACACCAAGGACAAAATTTCTTCCAGTACCATCAACACATATGCAGTATCATACCTGCCACATGTTTGAGTTTTGTCAAATCTAACGAAGCACTGCATACGAATACCTTTGGTCCTATCTTCCTTAGACAGCTAATCACAGGTCATACAGACTGTGATCAATTTAGCAAGGTCCACACTGGTAAACTAGGCACCTTGGGAGCCAGTAGTTTTTTCTTTGCTTCATGGCCTGTGACACACTGATATTTGTGTTCCAGGGTTGTGTCCATGGCTGTCCTCAAACAGCAGCACCTCATTGCTTATCAGAAAACTCTCATGCATGCTAGGAGCCGTCGATGCACCAACCAAGGCTACATCACAGCTTCTGTGCCAGAAGGGTGAGGCGTTTGAGGCTCACTAAGCGATCTTTTACCCTGCCCTACTTCCAATAAAGGAGGTATATTAGAATGCGGGGGTAAGGAGGATTGCAGCAGGGGGATACTATGTGATCATCCAGCTCAGCACATGTCCAGACATCGTCTTAGGAAAACAGAAAGCCATGCATGTCACATACTAAGGAACTGATACTAAGCTTTGACACAAAGCTTCAACAGGACAACTGTGGGACATATCATGTTCCCTAACCCCTGGGCATCCCATAAGTCTAGAAATTTATAGGTGAGCTTAATTTGTATTTATTGACCCACTAATAGGAAATATTACAACACTACACAAAGTCACAGACTCTGGGCTCCCATACGCTGGATCTTCTTATTCTTCTGTATGATCTTGGAGGAGCGACTGATCTTTCCAAACATGAATTTCCTCACCTGTGAAATGGGTTCAGGAATACACTCCGAGGATTATCATGAGCATTAATTAAGACGGCACACGTAAAATGTTTGCAATGCAATTGAATCTCAAACTATAAATCAGTTTATTATATAGTAATAGTTTACAAAGGGAAAAAGTTTTATTTAAGTGAGTCACTGCACTGTTGTATGTGGCAAAACGTGAGAAAGAGAAAATAATCTCATAGCAAAAAGTACTAGACTACTTGAAAGTGCCCCGTGTTGTTATGTGTATTACTTTTTTCTTGGGATACAAGATTAAATAGTTCACTGCCCTTGGAAGATGTCAGGGGCTGGGTGAAGTGATGAATGGATAAATGGACCAATCTAATAGGATAAAAACCAATTCAAGGACGGAGACACAAACACGTGCTCTGCGGGTGTGCGCTAAGGGGTAGGGGTGCTGTGTAAAGGCAGAGCCTCTCCCCCTGCTGCAGGCCCAGCAGTTCATCGCGTTACTCAGCACGTAGTCTGTGCTGAAAATCATTTCAAAAGTGCATTAAACGACCCAGAAACGCTGGGTGGTGGTGTTGTCGTTGTTGTTGTTCTGAATCAGGAACATTCTCAGTGTTTGAAACTGCAAAATCACATCCTTCCCTCTTAAGTCATGACTTCAGACTCTGGAAACTCAGAAATTATAATTTTAAAATGAACATTTAATGTATCTCCTTATAATCTACTTCAAAAAAACATAATTTGATTTTACCTAAAGAATCCCAAAATCAGATAGATTTCCGTGGCTGTGACCTGCAGCATAACTAACCGAAACAATAAATTCTACCTTCTTCCCATTCTGCGTCATACTTTGCGCTTCTGTATCAAAACATGAAAAGGGCAGTACATTAACACCAACCACCAGGCTGAGAGCATTGTGATAGTGCAATAACTAGCTAGATTTATTATAAATTTGCTGAGATCCTGTTTGGTTTTAATGCCAGAAGAGCTCTCCTCTCCTCCTCAGTGTAGATAGTTTAACTTTCACGAATGTAGTAAAACTGATACATCCACTCTCAAGATGGAGACTCACACTGTGTCAGCAGAATTGATAAGGAAATTATTTCCTCTAAAACAAAGCCAAAGAAAAGATGAAAAGGAAATGTCACACTTTATCCGTATATTTTTAGATGACAATGAAAGCACTTGGGATTAATTGTCCACCATTTGAGTGACCTCATTTTTTACAGAGCAGAGTTATCTTAAGAATTCCCCACTCTAAAGTTGAGATTAGGGTCTCAATTTAAAGTGTAAAATCGTGTTTAAACCCGACATGCACTTTGAAGGCACAGTTGAAGCCAGCAGCATACGTGAAATCAGAGACAGCAAAGCCAGGGAGAACTATCAGATCAGTCCCCGCATCTTTGCTTTGATGTTGCAAACAAATAAAAGGAAAGTGTAATTCCTTTTCCTTAATTTTCCATCATTTTGCATATTCAATATGCAGCGGCTTTTTTTTTAGCAGGGTCACCGGGGATTGAACTCACTACCTTGCAGTTGCCAGGCAGGCACTTACGCCACTGAGCTAAATCCCTGGCCCTTCAATATGTAGTGTTAAGTAAGTCAAATTTTCAGGGGTCACATACACACTCACAAACATACTCTGCTCTGTGACTCCACCCTCTACCCCAGAATGGTAACTGTAATGATTTCCAAGCCCTGGCAGTCTTTCCCTACGCCGTGTCAAGATGCTTGCACCCCAGATGGGTGACACAAAAGCTAGGATGAAATTTCAGCTCAATGCCATTCCATAAAAATGTTTCTTAATGCAATGGGCCAACTGTAGCATGTAAAGTTCCCTAGAGACAATGCCCTGCTCCCCGCAGGGCAACCTGATGATGACTTGTATGTGTACAGTGCCTCTCTTTGGTGAACTGTGAAAATTTCAGGTTCATAAAGCTTCATCCAGCACTAAAATAGGCTTAATCATGTGAATGCATCTTAAACGGAACAGCACACGAAAGCTCACAGGTATTGAGAAACATTTCATTTCCTACAGCAGGAATTTCTCCTTCCTTAATCTTGAGCATGGTCGCTTGTTCTCACTTGTTCATTTCTGTTATTATTCTTCTACTACAAAGAGTATTTTTTTCTTGTCATTGCATAAGTAACTATTTGTGGCCCTCTATGTCTCCTGTACATACTGGCTGCTGGTCACTGGTCACCACAGACAGAAGTGTGTGTGTGTGTGTGTGTGTGTGTGTGTGTAAGCATGTGTGTGTGTCACTGTGTGTGCATAGCATTCTTTCCCTGTACTGCATCAAACTGCTTGTCCCCAAGATAAATGACCAGAAAGCTCCTGAGTTCTGTTCTTCAAGCGGCTCAGCTAAGTGAGGAAGACAGGCACACAGCCATTTGTGATTCTGCACTGCGCATTATCTAAAAATTTTGTCACTCAAATCCAAGGGTCCCAAATAAAACTTGGCCCTCTCTTGGCTCTGCCTTGCTGATTCAATTAGCTTAAAAATTTGCTGAAACTCTTAGCTCCTTCCCCCTATTTTCCTAAGCATAACGGAACA